TCATGGAGATTTCAGTGTAGAAGGTGGATATAGTTGTGATTGAATCCAGTCTTCAGAAGTGATAAGTGAGAAGCAAAGCATTTGGAATTATCTTTCAACCCTCTGCTCCATAAAACTCTTAGAAATAAATGAAGAATTGAGTAATGAATAGCAACAGAAGTGTATTAAATTCAATGAAGTTTTGGCGTTTAAATGTAATTCTACAAGTGATCCAGTGAAAATTAAATATGCCCAATCATTGGCCAAAATCCTGTTACAGTACTTACAGTAATAAATCACACTAGAGTTAGGCCCATTGAATCATTGAGGATTTAGTAAATCAACCTCTCTGTAAGTTCCAGTTATTCAAATGGGCCTACTCTAACTGTGACTTATACTTAAAGTAAGTCAGTTAGAGTAGACCCATTTAAACCAATGTAAATTATGGAGGAATTGCTGCACTAAATTTCCATTGCTTCAATGGACCAACTCTAGGGTGATTCCTTTTGCTAAGCAACATGATTTTGGCCAGTAGGATAGTGAGAGACTTAATTATCCATTCATCTCTGTGCAACTTAAACAACCTTTGGAAATTATCTCAGTCATGCTTGGCCTCTAATGGGCACCTGAATTTATCCCAGTTCATATTAAACAATTTCAGGGAGCTTCATTGCTATATATGCAGTTCTTTTAAATGCAAACTCTAAACAAAAGTGAAAAATGCAGATGGAGCCAGGAATAGATCTGAGCATTAGTTTCCACTGGGCTTAATCAAAACTTAGCCAAGACCACTGCATCAAAGTATAATATTTAATGGGACAGAGTAAATAATACAATATGATTTTTTTAGAACCAAATGAGAATCTGGATTGCCCACCAATTTCTAATGTACTCTTGCTGAGAAGAAGGGAGCTGAATGCCAATGATGAGGGATAAAACGGAGCTGTTGATTTAGTTCAGCAACCCTAACACTGCTATTGAACCTGGGGTTCAAAGAGAACTTAACATTTAAATAAGCCTACGGAAGCAGTGGCTGCTGTTTGTTTTTCTTTGGTCTCAGCCGACTATCTATTTTTCTGAGTAGAGTTTTGTTTCCTCACTGAATTAAATATATGCTTCACTGCCAATATTTAGATGTCAAACTAACTGATCTGGGAACTTAGCAAGACAATTGGAAGCCTGACTGCAAACATCTGTATCCAGTAAAGCAAGCAACCTCTCTTAACAATCATACGCTTTGTGGTTTTGCACTCTGAAAAGACTGTTCAGGCTAATAGAATGCTGGGAAAACTGAACCTAGAAATGCAACTTTATCGTCCTGCAGTTTTCATCTTCGAAATAGTATCAAAACTATGGCCATTAAGTTATAACATGTGAACAAGAATACTGTTCCTGGACACAATCACCCATAGAGCAAGAATCCTAAATGATGACTCTCATGATGCAAGGAAATATGTGTTATAGGTGTTTGGCCTGTAATGGCAATACCTGGACTCTGCTTGATGTTGACAAGCAAAAATAAATGTTCTACAATAACTTTTGCCTGGAGATCCTGGGGTTATTTGGGGTGGTGATGAAGTTACTCCTATATCTCAGAGTAGGTGTGCAAATCTCATAGTGTCTTACTGCCAGAAAGAAACTAGGAGAGGGGAAAAATCACTCTTTACTCTTTGCAATGAGATTTCTCTCTGGATAAGATTTTTTCCTCCAGTAAATCTCATGGAAAATCTTCCAGGATGTCTGAGAAGGTTTGTGGACACTTTTTTTTCTGGCAATGCTAAGTTGTACAGGATTGTTACAATTTCTGTGGAAAATAGTGTCTTTCCTGAGCATAATTGGCCAGGGGAAAAAAAATAGAAGAAACACCAAACGGGGGTGGGGGAGGGATTTGTTACAATTCCTAAATAGAATGACATCTGTCTTGTGCAAGATTCACTAGAAAAGGCATTAAGCCTTACAGAATTGGTTGATTTCATGTCCAGAACAATGAGAGAAAATGGGGGGGGGGAATATATAAAAGAGAAAATTACAGTGGTGCCTCGCAAGACAAATGCCTCGCAGGACAAAAAATGCGCAAGACAAATGGTTTTGGCAATGGGGCTGGTGACCCGCAAGACAAATGTTCCTATGGCCATGCTTCACAAGAAGAATGCTTTCCGTTTTTTGTTCCTGCCTCATGTTTGCTGATTTTAAAGTGTTTTTCTATGAAGTTTAAAAAGTTAAAGTTTTTTTGATTGAAATTTTTAAGGTCATCTGCACAATATGTATGGCTTTAAAGAGCACTTAATAAACCCTTTGCAAACCAAATGTGACTTTGTTCTGACATTTTTTGCCCATAGGAACGTATTAATTAGATTTCAATGCATTCCTATGGGAAAATGTGTTTCGCAAGACAGATTTTTCGCAAGATGACATTAACCACGGAGCGAATTAAATTCATCTTGCAAGGCACCACTGTAGTCTGGGGCCTCATTTTCAAAAAAACAAAAACAAAAACAAAACCAAAACCAAAAACCAAAAAACCAAAAACCTAGGAAATCTTACTTCAAAAATCAAAAAACCAAAAACCTAGGAAATCTTACTGATGTAGGGGATCTTGGTGGGGAGTCTTGGCATGGTGACACTCGGAGAACAGTGGAGAATGACGAATGTTGTAAGTGCTTGAGTGTCCGTCACAGCCTTCTCTCACCGTATATGTTTGCCCTGTACATGTCTCTGTAGGAGGGATGCTGCTAGTACAGTAAGGAGAATTATGTACCTAAGTGCCTATAGGTAGATGGGTATTGTGTATTCCCAAGCCAGGAGGCATGATGGTTGTGATCAAGGAAGTGCAGAGTTCTTGCTTTCAGTCATGGTGGATTCAGTTTTTCTCTCTGGTTAGAGGCAGAATTTGAAGAGTCTGTATTCCTAGCAGTGTTCTTTGTGGTATTTGTTTCAGGATGGGATATGCCGAACAAAGTCCTCCATTGTCAGAGTCCTATTTGTAAGGCCCACAGCTCTGTAAACACAGATCAGAATGATGTTGTTATCTATAGTGTATCTTCCAATATGCAATCTAATTCCCTTTCAGGGCAATGGATGCTTATGTATTCATAAATGGCTCCCACGTTAGTTAGCTTTCTATTATTTGGGCTCATTATGGCTGTGGGAGGCAGTATTTTTTTTTTTTTTGAGTTTCTGTTGAGTCCTGTGAATGTAACAAGTTTACAAGTTTTTTTCAGTTTAATTTTATAATAACAAGCCTGCAAGAGACAATCTGAGCTAAAGTGGACAGTCCTCACAAATTCTCTCATGTTTACTTGTCCAGATTGCATCGGACTACAGCTCCCATTATCCCCAGACAACACAATACTAGCCAGGTGGCGTGGAGGTTGCAGCTCCAATATATCTAGAGGGCACTAGGTTGTAGAAGGCTGACACAGCACTCATACCAACACTCCTTGTTCAGCTTGCTGTAACAGGACATTTCCAAGCAATCCAGTCTTCATCCAGCTAGTGTTAATTGAGCATGTGGCTATATGTGTAGAAACATTTTATGACTGTGCTTAATGGCTGGGATTTCTGTGTGAGAAACCTCTGGTGATGGATATGGGGTGTGAGGCTAATTCTGTTGTCTACAAAGCCCAAGTGCAGTCTGATTCTTTTCCTTTCTTGCTCCTCAGAGAGTATATCAGTCATGCTGGCTTGCTAAGGCTTTAGACTCTTGCAACTGAGGGAGGATGTCAGAATTTCCTCTTAGGGCGTTCTCATTGTGTGGCTGCCTCTGTAAATTATCAAGTGCTGGTCCTTTCACATCCGTAAGAGTGGATATGTCATTGACTATTTCAGGGAAAAGAAGATGGAAATATCTCTTCCTTGAGGCAGTTCCTGTAGAAACTACTCAGTAGTCATCCTGGCTAAGTTTTCATTTACTAGTAGTGAGGAAAGGGGAGGGGAGTGGGAAAGTTTGGAAATATCAAACCACTCTGACTAATATTTGCACAGCTCGGTCTTTTAAGGGAAGTTTAACAATAGCACAGTTTAAAATGCCAGAGGAAGTGTAGCTGTGTGAACTTTGTTGTCAGGTTCACACTTTATTGATAGTGGTAAAGAGAACATTTTAAATAGCATAAGTGTTAGAAGAAGGAAGAAAATAAATAGAAAAGTTGATCTGTCCTTTTTAAGATAAATCCCCCTTCCCAAGCCTTCCCAGAGAATGTTTAAATGGTGAAGAAAGCTTAATTTAGTTCCAAAAATATATACAGTATCAAAAGTCAACAAGACAGGTAGAGAAGAGGGGTTTTATTATATCATACTGTATTCTATGTTAAAGTGTTTCATGCTGCCAGTTGGCAGCGTTCTTGGGCCAGTTTACAAGATCACAAATTACCACAAACACAAGAAAAATAGACGAAACACAATAAAGTTAAAATATTATAATGTAAAGATATTAAAATTATGTTATGAGCCAGCAAGATAATCTAGACAATAGCACCAAGAGTGAAATCAAGGCTTGAATGCCTGCTGGAAGTGGAAGATCTTATCTTGACCTCTAAATGCTACCCATAAGTATGCAAGGCATTTTGCATATATGGAGGGGGCAGTGCTAAGAAGATATATTATAGCCACTTGTCAGTGGCACCAAGGGAACACCCTTAAAGGGCACAAAGGGAACACCTTAATGATTGGAGAGGAATACATAGGAGGAGGTGCACTTTTGGATAGAATGGACCTAAGCAGTTTATAGATACTTCCCATGGCAATAAAAGTCAAATTACATTAAATGAGGTTTGCAATTTAAACTTTTAAGGACTGCCTTTTCTATGATATGTAACATGTCCTGTAATGCATGTCCTGTAATGCATAGAACTGAGAGGCCTCTGATCCAGTTCTCAGTTATAGATGCAAATTATAACTTCTGAACTGCTGAATAATTTGCTTTGTGCATCTATAGATCTTGTACAATTTGGAAAGAAAAATGGTGTGGGAATTAAAATTTCTGAACATTTATTGTGGATTCATGTATTCTGTTTCCTTTACAGGTGTTTTACGTCTCGGACCTCTTCAAGCAGAAAATAAAGACTTCTCCTCCCCCTCCAATCCGGAGGGAGATACTTTCACCTGTGGACATTATTGACCGGAACAACCATCACAACATGGTGTAGACATTGGGTGGGGGGAGGAATTGTTTGGGGCTTTGTTTTTTGTTTTGTTTTGCAAAATGACTGCTGACAGCAACTACCTGCTGCTCAAAATCTCATCAGACAGTAGAATGTAGGGAGAGACTCTTGCCTGACCAGTGAGATCTTATTCTGTGGCCTTTTTCATTCTTACAACATTTGCATAAAATGGATGCAGTTCGGCTAAGTGTAAGTCAAAGGCAACAATTACAAAATGAATCAAAACATGATGCAGGAATTCTATATGTGCAATTGGCTGAGTGTTCATGTTGTAGTGAATGTGAAATTGTTCATAGCTTTTTGAACACTAAATGATTACTAGGCCATCTGTGCTTTTTAATTATATTTTTTTAACTATGAAGATTTCCAATTCCAGCAGGCAGGGATGAGGGAAAATAGCGCTGACCAACTAGGTTATAGCGATGTCTATAAGGAATAAGCACTGATTCATGAATTGTGATCACTTTTTAAACTACCCCCACCCCCAGTTGTCTATGGCTCTGTTCCATGCTGTGACTCACTTTTGGTTCAGGAGACACATACCAGCTAAAATGGTGGAAAGATGTATTTTCTCACTGCAGAAACCCTGAAATACATACCTGTCTATACCCAATAATGCATAACTGAATCTACTTATAAAACTGAATTCAAGTTATTTCACAGTACTCCTAACTATAAAAGTTATTCCATATTTATTTCAATCTATCTAATTTTCCTCATAAACTGTGTGGTATGCTCATGATGTTTTCATTCTCATACTTTGGAGAGTAAGTCAGAATTGTCAAATAAGGGACACTCATGAGGTGTGGAATCCTTGTGCCTCCCTTATGTGTTGTATACAGTGTTGTATTAAATGTTCAGCCTGCATCAAATTTGCTTGATGGCCTAGTACAATCATCCCCTTTGATTCCATTGACCCAAACAAATCAAGAAATCTATTTTCTTAATGGTCACCACATTTTGGACTCACAATATATTGTCTTGTTTGTGGTCAGTCTTGTTCTATGTTAGCACTACAGGTTCTGAGGTTGAAACTCAGAACATAACTCCTCCAAGTAAGAGGCAGACTGCTGGGCAGGACTGCCCTGGCCTGATTGATATTCATTCAAATCCTTCATGTATTTTTCATTGCCTGATGAAAAGGGATCATTCTTAAGTAGAGTCCAGTCTTCCAGCCCACTGTGGGTATATAGAAATGAGACTTCCATCATGCCCGTCCAGCAGGATCAATGGTCATTCTGGTTTGGGATGATGAAGTCCTTGTGAAAAATATCTGGAGGGACATGGTTTTTAGGGAGGGCTGCTTTAGACAATAGACTTAATTCTGTTTTCAGGAATACCAGGAGCATCTAAAGAAAGCTGATGAGAGCAAACCTAGTTCTAGGCATTCAAATAGAACTGCAAAAAAAGAGAGAAGTTTTTAAACAGAGGCAGACAGATTTGTGTTTTTGGACTACAAATGCCTGAATTCCTCAGGCAGTTCTGCTGCTTTGGAATTATGGGAGTTGTAGTTCAAAAGCACAGATCTACATCTCGCCCTTTTTAAATAACTTCAAGAGATGAACCCATCTTGCTAACCAAGCAGACTGGCCTTTGCACACCGTGTCATGCAAAATCCGTCCTATCATTTCAATTCTAGCAAGCTATGATTTTT